ACAAAGTACTGAAAACACCAGCCGCGCAGATGAGATTTAAGATGGGTGTGAAAGCGAGGTTGTTTTCACATGTTTCGTAGAAAGGAGGCTAGCTTTGGCTTTGAAATACCCTCGGAATAGCCTGTGACACAAGCCAATTTTGTTTATCTAAGCTACTTATCTCCACCCCTACAAAAACATTTAATTTCTCATCAGTTGGCTTTGGAATTCAATGACGAGTACATCACAGTGTATGTAAAGATCACTGAGTTTGGTTCATGCCAAAAGAAATGGAGGAGGAAGATACTGAAACTGAGTCAACACTTGATGAAATGCTTGAGAAAATTTCTGTGATATCGGATTGTTCCTACTGTATCATCATTAGAATTCATTGTAGTAGATGATGATAATGTGTGTACAGCCCCAATTATGGCAGACAGACATTTTGGAGTTTGTTCAAAGCTAAAAAAAATCATTGGTGCAGATTCCGATGACAAAAATGAAATGAATAATGTAGCTCCTGTTCCCACATCATCTGAAATGAGGAACATCATGGAAAGTATGAGCAGTTATTTAGAGGCACATTCTAATGGTGGAATGAATAACAAAATGGGTGACATCAAAAAATTCATTGACAATTTGATGATAAAAAAGACAATGCAAAGAAAAATATCAGGTTTCCAAAAACAGGTTCAATAAATGTTTTGTTTTTCAAAAAACTTGAAAAATTTTGTATTAAGTTCTTGGGGATGTTTTATTTCATTAATTTTTATTAAATACATGCATATATACATATCTAAATAAAATATACTTTAATAACTTAATTTTGTTGAATATATGTTTTTTTTTTTTTTTTTTTTAAATCCTTTAACATGAAAAAATATTTCAGTCGCCTCAGTTTCGTGTTAAACGAGTTCCACTGTATTTGCTGATAATACGAAACACTACTTCATCGAATTTGTTTAGAGAGATATTTTTTATTCAATTAATTCAGTTCTCACTTCGTGGCAAGGCAAAAATACATAAAAACTCAAAATATCTTTATTAAAAATTGAAAGACATAAAACACCAAATACAGTTAAAAAAATTTTTAAAAAATTTTACAACTAAAATTAGATTTTCTGTGCAACAACAAGCAATTCGGCCAGCAAGCAAAAAGGCAGATTTTTGGGTGCACAAAACTTAAAAGTTTCCTTTTTGTCTCACTTGGCAAAAAGACACGGAAGGCGTAGAAACTGACTTCATTTGTTGTGGACGCTATACTGAGTCAATATATGGGGTAATTTAATAACTTAAATGATAATTCCAGAATGGATTCACCATGATTTAATTCACAATAATAAAAGAAGACGTTACCTTTGCTGTTGCAAAGCATAGTTTCTCTAGATTGGAAACAAATCCACTGTTCTGATAAGTTTCAAATGTAAACAAATATAGTTGCTATGGTAAACAAAATTAGGCTTAGCTGCACTTAAACAACTTTTACATTGTTGATAATTCTATAACTATAACATGCAGGTTAACTAAAGGCATAAAGACCTTAACCAGAAGATAATAACTACATAATTCAATCTTTTTTAAAGCAAAAATTGCAAAATTTACCAACATGCAAGGGGGGGGGACTGAGCTCAAGAAGCCAAGTAGCAGATTGCGTATATATGTATATATATATTTTTGGTGTGGCTGAATACAACCAAAAAGGGAGGTGCACAACTACAAATTATAGCAGTCCCACATACCAAATTTCAACATTCTAAGGCTATTTTTTTTAGTTGTGCAAGATACATATATAGGTACAAATACCACAAAAAATCTCTTCTGAATCTATTTTAATTCAGTTTTATAATTCATTTGAGAAAGAGTCCTTTATTCTGTCCTTATGCACAGATATCACGGAAAAACATCTTTAAATTGCATTCAATAGCCGTAAAAAATGGATATTTTCCATTGAAATGTGATACAGTACAAAGTTGTCGGGACTTTGGCGATTCCAGATTAGGGGTTTTTCCAGATTATAGATAATCAATTTAAATCTGGTAAGATGGCATGCAGAAATTATACAATTAAAAATATGAAGCCGTAATTTATGAAATAAAGAGCAATTATGATCTAAAGGGTATCAAAATTTACACACACACACAAAAAAAAAAGGTTAATATTTATTTGTTTAGTAAACATTTCTTTCAATGTTAGTGTTTAAGTTGCTTCTTTTTTTGTGCTAATACTTTCTCTTTAATTCTATAAACAGACATAATTTCTTGTTCAATTACTAAGTTGCACTGCGTGTATACGAGCCAGTTTCCCTTGGAATGTCCTCCACGAAGGCATTCCTCCCCTTAGGTAGACAGACCTAGTGTGCTTTGCCGTAATCTCAATAAACCAAACCAAACCAACTAAGTTGCACTATTCAAGTCCTGTACCTGCTGTGTCGAAAATACCGACTAGTCAATCGAAATTTTTCCTTTTCAATAACGTTCTCTGTCACTTTCTTCACTATCAGAAGTGCGCATGGGTAAACGCTTTACTGGCTTTATGCGCATGCCTAGTGGACGCACGCATCAAACGCGCATGCGTAAGTTTGTGGCTTTGAGGTCCGGATTATAGATCATTCCGTATAATGGACGTCCGGATTACGAACTTTGTACTGTACCCAGAATTTTCCCCCGATTTCAATATTTTTTTTTACTTCGCACAAGGAAGTAAAATATTAGTGACATTTCTTTACATCTCACTAATTTAGCTTTGTGCTGATTTTTCCTTAATGACTTGTTTCATCGCATAGTTGCTCAGTCTTGAGGTTAAGTAAATAGCAAGCAAATTTTATGCCAAATGCCATAAGTTAAAATGAGAAGTAAAATCATAATCAACATGATTCATAACAGAAGATTAGCTGTTGCCACCACTGCTGCTTGCCTAGAGAGAGACCTGTTGATCAGAGCAAACCTGAAAACCTGATGAAAGCACGCTCTGTCTGTCTGACGGAGTTAGTGTAGCATTCCTGAGGTGTTAACCCAGTTAATACAGTTAAAGGTTTCAATAAGCCATTAAAGCACCAGACATGATAAGTTTTTTTGCATTTTTTTAAGTCTCACACTCGATGCAAAGAATAAGTTTTACATTAATATTTTTCCTTCTGTGCTGCATCTTGTGACCATGGTAAAGATTAATGAAAGGCAATAACTCACTTTAATAGGCAGAGATTATTTTTAAGAGTGACCAGTTAGTTATAAATAATTAAATTATGCAGTTAGCTACCCTTAGTTATTGTAGATTTATAGAGATTTAATTTTTAAAAATATTTGTTAAAAAAGCACTATTAAAATCACAATCTAATAACATTTCACAGTTTAAAATACATGTGATTTATGACATTCATTCTTAAAAGCTATTAGGATTATTACACAATGAATAACTGTACATATCTTTGAAGTATTATTTTCTTTCTCTTTGTGTATTCAATTTGTTTTTTGCAATTTCTTTCCCCTTCAATTCATAAACTTTGTATTCAAAAAGATTTTCGTTATTCTAAAAAACCAAATGCAATTAGAATGTATAGAAAAAGCTGTTAATTTTATTTCTTTAGTACTATGAACATTCAGAATAATTATGAAATGATATATCGTAAGGGCCAGGTTACAGAGTCGGTGTGACAGAATTTTTAGAATTTAGTGACACACCGAGCAACAAAACGTAGAAATGACAAAACTTTTAGAATTTAGGAAGATACTAAGCAGCAGAATTTATGATCCACAAATATTGATTGCGTCTGGTAGGAAAATACCTAGCACCAGCCCTGTGTATGATACACTGAGACATATAAGATGAATCTTTTGAATTATCAGTTTTAAATTTCTTTATTAAGAGAAAAATTGCTTCCTATAAATGCCTGCTTATGAGATCAGATTAAGAAGCATTTTTTGATATTTTCAATGCTTGTGCCTAGTGAAAAGTAGGGAAAATAAACATATAAAGAAAAAGACTTCTAGAATCAGAAGTAAAACATTCAAATATTACGTTTTCATTGGGCTTCCAAAAATTCTCCAAAGAGTAAGAAATTTATCACAAACTTCCTGTAAATTACATTCATTATGTGTTAAAACCATGACGACATTTTTCATTTTGTCACATTTTTCTGGAATTTTCGAGAATTTAGGGTTTCTAAAACTTACTTTCAAATTCTTCTGAATTTTTTACGTTGCAATGTTTAAAATCCTAAAGAAAAATTATCCCTACCCAATTCAGTTACCGACAAAAAATAATAATAATAATAATAATAATATTTTGAAAGAAAAAATGGGGTAAGCGTAAAATTAATTTTATAGAGAAAACTTATGCATATTCTGAGAATTCTCAGACAATGTGGAAAAAAACTCGTACCACAAAAAAATTTAAAAGAAGACATTTTTAATTAATTACACAGCTATTTTGCTTTTGCTGAGAAGTGTTTTGTAAATGTTGCCTTATAGCATTTATAACCTTATGTTTCAGATTCAAAATATTGTAGAATAAAGTTGCCAAAATGGAAAGTAATGTCACTTTATAATATGACAGCAAAACATAAAAATGTTGTATTGTTATTTCTTAAACATGATTTCAATATATTACTGTTATTTTAATGAAATTTACGGATGTTATAATGTTTAAAAAAAATGTCAAAAAATTCCTGGTTCTCCGAATTAAAAATTTTTCATAGAAACCGATCTTAAAATTGCCAAAATGTTGATAAATCTTCATATTTAGAACTGTTTAAGAAAAGAATTCACATCACCAAAAGTGAAAAGCTGTTTAAGAGCTCTTCATTAGATAAAATGAAATAATTTCAAAATGCTTGCATTTCGCTTCTTGCGCAGAAACTTGAGTAAATAGGAACAAATTGTATCTCAATTCATTCAAAATATTTGTCAGAAAATAAATATGCAAAAATATTTCTCCAAAATGCTAATTTACACTCAAAACGTCAGTCGTAAAAACAGACAGAAATTTGAGATTGTTAAAATTAAGGTCATTCCACCGATTTTGGCTAAAATTAAGGACCAAAAATCGATTCCAAGGAACCTAAAGACTTTTGAGGACCATACGAATACTGATTCATATATATAATATTTTTATAAGATTTAAAAGAAAAAATAAAATTAATTTATAACACAGATAAATGTCTCTATACTGTTAGAAATAGAAACTCACTATTAATCTAATATCCTTTCACAAATTCCAATTTTATTTTACTAAAAAAAAATAAGAATATAAATATTTTAAGCAATGCTAATGATATTCAGTAATGCAAAATTAAGTACTCATTATTTTTTAATTTAACTCATATATGAAAAATTGAATTTTAAAATACTAACTTAACAGCAAATGTTTTTATTTCTTGCATCACTACTTTTTCTCTCTCCTTGATTTCTTCATGCCTTTTATTCAAGTTACTACTAGCATTTTCTATATGTCCTTGCTTCTCTTTTATTTTTGCTAAAAGTTCTGTGATATAGCCTTTTTCTTCTTCACATGCCTTTGCCAAAAACTGGTACTTATGCTCTTTGTGATCTGACAACTGACAGTCTCTACATGTTAATTTATCACAGGTTTCACAATACAGCTTCAATTGTTCCTATGTAAAAAAAAAAAAAAATAATAATAAATAATATATATATATATATATATACATAAATAAATATATATACATAAATAAATACATAAACATATGTATTTATATATATATATATATATAAACATATGTATTTATATATATATATATATATATATATATAACATATGCATTTATATATATATATATAGAAACATATGTATTTATATATATATATACATTTAACCTTAATATTACACAGTGTACTCATATAAAATTTATTATAAAAAACATATATATATAACATATAAACATATATATATATACAGTCAAAAGTCGTTAATTCGGACTCGTCGGGACCTCAGCGGTTCCGGATTATAGATCATCAGTTTAAATCTCGTAAGATGGCATGCAGAAATTCTAAAATTAAAAATATGAAACCGTAATTTATGAAATAAAGAACAAATATGATCTTAAGGGTATCAAAATTTACAAAAAAAAAAAAAGCTTCATATCTATTTGTTTACTTTATTAAACATTTCTTTCAATGTAAGTTGTTTAAGTTGCTTCGTTTTATGAGATAATATTTTCTCTTTAATTCTATAAACAGACATAATTTCTTGTTCAGTTACAAAGTTCGGCTGTTCAAGTCCCGTAATTGCTGTGCCGAGAATACCGACTAACTTGTCAATCGAAATTTTTTTGTTTTCACTAACCTCTCTGTCACCTTCTTCATGTCCTTATCCATTTTTTGCAGCAATTATCCTTTGGGAGCTCCAGCATCGGAAATTCTATTTGACATAATCGAAAGTTCAAGTTTACTTTTATAAAATTGCTCTTACTGTCTGCAAAAAATAATAAGCCGGATCCAATTCGAAGATTAAGGTACAACGCAATCATCAACATTAACTGAAATTGATAATTAGATAATTTTAGCTTATACCATCCGTTATACATTAAACGCGCACGTGAAAACGTTTTCTGCGCTTGCGCACACGCACAGTTGTAAAGATCTTACGCGCACGCGTAAATGCCTATGCGCATGTGTCAACGTGGCGCATGCGCAGAAAGTTCTTAGCTTTGAGGTCCGGATTATAGATCATTCCGGATTATGGGTGTCCGAATTAACGACTTTTGACTGTATATATAAATATATGTGTATTTATAAGGTTATATGTGTGTGTGTATATATATATATATATATGTATATATATATATATATGTATATATATATATATAAATATATTGTATATATATATATATACACATATAACCTTAATATTACACTGTGTACTCATATAAAATTTATTATAAAAAACATAATACAGTAATATGATTGTAAAATATACATTTTTTTTAGCTTATGAGGCAACAAATTTTTAAAAAAGCAGCAGTATATTTTATAAGCAGCTAGAAACAACATCTACACCCATATTGATAAATGCATAAATTATACAACAGAAAGAATTAATTTCCCATTTTACCTTTACAAGACAATAAATGCACATAGGAAGGGTAAATTTACTGAGTAGGTGTGTACGTAATTTAATTTCCTTTTACATCATTTTCATAGTATCAACAAATCTAAAATTCGCTTTGATCTGCACACATATATCCTTAGGATATTTAAGCGTCAGTAAACAATGCTCATTCAATTGCAATAACAGGTACAGTTTATACAACAGTTTAACAACAATATACTAGGCTGATTATTGCAAAATTGTTAATGGCTTCAAGTAAACTATCACTTCCAGTTAGTTGTTCAAAAGAAACTGTTGTGTGCTAAAGTAGGACTTCTGGTTGTTCAATTTTATAATAATGTATTAAATTTATAAAAATAGAAGAATACATAAAGCAATTTTAATTTATGGAAACACACAACACAAAAGGTACATTCATTATCTACATTTAGAAAGAAAACCAAAGAGCTTTATCATTTAACTCTTTCACACCTTTTTTTAAGAGTTTTAAATACTGAATTTCACTATGCAATAAGTTCATTTAAATATTATTTATTACTCTTTGTCATAAAAAAAGAAGTGTACCTGTTTCTAAAAATATAAGTTCCTAGTTCTTATTCTATTATAAAATTTTGAATCAAAACAATGCTAACAAATCTTACGAATTTATTAATATTCATTAACTTTCTGGGTTTCTTAATATTTATAATTTTATGTTCACAAATTCCCTATAATTATAATTCTGTACAAATCTGACATTAAATTATTTAACAAACAGATCATTTAATAAACAATTCCATAACTAATTTCTGGTTGAAATTTGTTTAAATTCATTTTTCTAACATTCCAAATTTTTTTCATTCGAACGAGTTTCCAAATGTTTAAACCTTTTAGTAAAAATGCACAAGAAACGTAGTAAATACGGTTCCTATAATTTTAGAAACATAGAGCTATGGAATGAGTTTATGTGCAAGACTGCTACTGACAGAAAAAAAATTAATATGAACAGACTGATTTTCTATCTCTCACCATATCTGTGTACACTAGGCCATATGATTGTGGAGAGAACTTCCCAAGTAGATATACTCAATAAATTTAGTTTGACAGCTGTAGTTGGTCATGCCTCTGGCAATTCAGCTACTCTTTCTGGCATTTCCACTTCTTTTCTATTATGCAGATGCTTCTAATACACACTCTGCTTTAGTCAGTCATTAGTTGTTTAGCAGGATGCACTGCTGCACAGTTCGAACTGCTACATAGATGGAGACTAACTAAACTGGCTTGTACAACCTGTTTATTTATACTTGTTATATATATATATCAGTAACGTTGTTTAGAATTGTGCATAACTTTTGAATGCTAAGTTCATATAAAAATTCATTAAACTAAAGCTGTAAATAATATTGAAATAATAATTTTAATTGAGAGATCAATCTCTAAAGGCCCGTCTACACGTAGCGATTTCCTCGGCCGACAATATCTGAGATAGCTCGCCTGTCCACACGGAACGATTTTCTCGTTAGTACAGGAATTCACTCAGCCAATCACTGTGAAAGGAAGTGTTCCCGTCCTCTATAGTGTCACACTGTCTACAATTTGTAAACAAAGCTTATGGTGTTGTCAAATAGTCAAAATAATGGATGACTATTTTACTTTAAATTGCTACTTTAGATACAGCTACAATTTTGAACTTAGCTACTGCTACAGAAAGGGGGGGGAGAAGAAAGTGCATTTGAATCAGAAATTGGGTCAAACGATGAGAAATTCTTGGTGAGCGTAAATACCCTGCTCTGGGAGTTGCGTATTGAAGACACAGTACAATTCGGAAAGTATTTACGGATGATGCAACGTGACTTTGATTTTTTGCTAAATTTAGTTTGCAGCAAAATTTTTAAAAAATATGCTTTTTCTTTGTGTACTGAGTACACAGATTACTCCTTTTTTATTTTATTTTATTTATTTATTTATTTTTTTTTATTTCATTTTCTGGCACTCCTATTTGTGCACTTAAATCTTGAAATAATAAAATAAACCATGTTTCAGAAAAAATAAGTAACTACTGTAAAAATAAGTAAACCTTTATTAATGAATAAATAGACAATAATGTTATGAAAATCAAATTGTTTTGGCAAGAAACAATTATTTAAAAAATATTAGTTTGTCAGCCAACACAGAAGCTGAACATATTAACAAAATTGGTAGTGACTGGTGAAATCAGTTAAAAGGAAAATGCATAAATTTTCTAGCATTCTCAATAGCAAATGACAATAGTTCTGACATGTCGGCTATAGCACAACATATCATTTTCATACGAGGTATTACAGATGAATTTGAATTAATTGATGAAATTATTAGAAATAATTGAAGGGGTTGCAAAAAATATTTTTTACTGAAATACAAACTTAGTAGAAAAATATGAATTAACTTGGGATAAAGTAGTTGGATGTGCAATTGATTTCTTTACAAGTGGTAGAATGCAAGCTTGAGGAGGGCCTATAGTTTGGCCTCTTTAGCTTAAAGTTTGAAATTGATAGGCGTGTTGCTCTACTAATTTGGAAAGCCTTCCAAATTACAGGTACAGCTGTAAGAAACGTTGGTGGTGGTCAGCCAAGAAAAACAGTGGTGATTGATGACCAATATACAGTCAATTCCGGTTAATCGGACCACATCGGGAAGCAATCATTTTGGTCATAATAACCGGCTGGTCCGATTACGCGAACATGTCCTATGTTGTAAGACAGGACAAGCTATGTGTAGCAAACAGTAAATGTACAGGTAAATCATGTACTAAAATGTAATTATGAACTTTTTGGTGCGGTACACACGTATGGCAAACATACGAGGGCCATCCAGGAAGTAGATTATGTTTCCGTCTGTGTCCGCTAGGGGCGGGGCTAGCGCGGCCATCTTGGGGTCAGAGCGTTGCGCAGCTCAGTCTGCATCTAGCCGTGCTAGTGAGAGGTTCGTGCTGTGCTCCGTTCAGATACTGTGACGGTTTGAAATGTCTGCGTTAATTGAAAATCCCGCGAGGTGCGCTCAGTAATAAGGTTTCTGACTGCAAAAAACTGTAAACCGATAGAAATCTATCGGCAGCTTCGTGAAGTGTATGGGGACAACATTATCACTGAAGGTGGAGTGCGTCAGTGGGTCATAAGATTTCAAAATGGCCCGAACCAATGTTCACGACGAAGATCGAAGTGGGAGACCCAGCATAGTGACCGCCGCCGAACTTCTCGAAAAAGTCGATGCTAAAGTCCGTGAAAATCGAAATTTCACAATAACGGAACTTTCTTTGTTTTCTTTTTTCCACAAATTTCGCGAAGTTGTTGCACGAAATCATCAGCGAAAAGCTTGGTTACCACAAGTTTTGTGCAAGATGGATTCCAAAAATCTTGACAGAGGACCACAAAAATCAGTGAATGGCTGCAGCGTTGAACTTTTTGGACGCTTACCATAAGGATGGTGACTCTTTACTCGATCGCATCGTTACTGGTGACGAAACATGGGTGAAACATGTGAACTGTGAAACGAAATTGCAATCAATGCAGTGGGGGCACACAAGTTCTCTCCCCAAAACCCCCAAGAAATGCATGCAAACAATGTCGGCAAGGAAGATGATGGCGACTGTTTTTTTTGGGACAGAAAAGGTGTAATTTTGGTGGACTTCCTGGAAAGAGGCACTACAATAAACTCTCAAAGGTATTGCCAAACTCTCCAAAAACTCAGAAGAGCAATTCAAAACAAGCGCAGAGGAATGTTGAGCTCTAAGATCTTGTTGATTCACGACAACGCCCGGCCCCACACGGCAAATGTCACTCGTAAAGTTCTTGAATCTTTTAAGTGGGAGTTGTTTCCTCCTCCGCCGTACAGTCCCGACCTGGCACCGAGCGACTTCCACCTATTCCCAGCAATGAAGAAGTGGCTGGCTATGCAGCGTTTTGATGACGACGCACAGCTGCAAGAAGAGGTAACGAAGTGGTTGAAGGCGCAGGCGGCCGAATTTTTCGACGAAGGAATTTCCAAGCACGTACATCGCTACGATAAATGCCTTAATTTGTATGGTGACTATGTAGAAAAGTAGTATTTGAGTGTGGCTTTCATCTGTATATAATAAAATTTGTTTCCTATACTTTGTTTATTTTTTTATTCCAAAACGTAATCTACTTTCTGGATAGCCCTCGTACATGTATAAACAAGAAATACAGTTGAACTTTTTTTCATTGAGAAAATTAATTTAGAAACAATTTCTAAGAAACAATCTCCACGATACTCAACATGCGAAGCCCAATAAAAACAATTTTTTACCCAATTCCAGTCAACATTTGAAGAACTTATCAAATGTGATCTGATGCGTTCTCTTGACGGATTGCACGTAAACGAAATCACCACAAACATCTAATGCAGCAATGGGACTGCCTTCATTTCACTCCTCAATGAAATACCGACGCAAAGTTTCAATGCATTTCCTCGTATCCTGTGTTGTCACTTGCACCAATTGATTAGCATCATCATCACTTTCTTGCTCTTCCGATGCTGTCATGTGTTTTACTGCAACTCGAGCAACGATTGCAGCGCCATAATCTTCATTTTCATCGTAGCATTGAAGCTCGTTGTCAATGGATAAAAATTCTTCGCAATTTTGTACCTGTTGAGGTTCCACATGTAAATCTTCATTTTCACTTTCAATGAGCATGTCCACATCCATCTCCAAAACCAAGTGCTTAAAGCCACAGTGAGAAAAATAGTTCTGAATTGTCTCACTGCTCACTTTTCGCCAGCTGTCGACCACAAATGTAACTGCTTGTAAGATGTTGACCTTTGCACTGACTTCGCTGGCTTTTGACGATGAGGTCAGCAAACTTTCTTCAATTGCTTCAAGGATGTAAATTAACCAACCTTGCACGATAAAGGGTCTTTAAATTTTTTATGATGCCCATGTCCATTGGCTGGACCTTCCAGTTGGACGTTCATCAAGCAATCTAAATGAGGATGTGCTGCACAATTGTCAAGAAGAAACAGCACTTTTCTCGAGTGGCATTGTAGCTCTCAATCCTTCAGCCATTCTTTAGAAAGTTCAGAGGTGATCCACTCATTTCTGTTCGCATGATACACAACTGGTAAACTCTCCATCCTAAGTCCTCTAAAGCAGCGAGGCTTAGTGCTTTTTCCTATAACCAACAGCTTCCTCTTGTCCGTTCCTGACATGTTTCAGCAGCACAAACAAAACAGTTACGCTATCCATCGCTTTTTTGGAGCCAGAGAGTGCAACATGTTTGTAACTTAACGAGCCGTCCGGTGTAGCACGATAATACAGCCCAGTCTCATCAGCATTGTAGATGTCATCTGCTGAAAAATTTTCAAGAACCTCGGGCATTTGTTGATTTCCATTCTTCAGCATTTGCATTATCAGCACTTTCTTTCTCGCTATGTGCTTTCTTGAATTTTATGTCATGTCTAGATGTCCATCGAGACAACCAGCCGTCCATAGCTCTAAAGTCATCGTGGCACAGCTTTTTAGCGAGTTCATCTGCTTTGCATTTTAACATTGGGCTGCTTACTCACACAGATTGTCCATTAACAATGGCAAACCATTCATTGAGGGCCTCATCAACATCTGGATCCTTGCCTTTACGCTTCCGTTTTTTGTAAGTTCCTCTTCATTATTCACATTGTGCCCATTCTTCTCGCAGCTCATTCTCTTGTTTTATCAAGTGCAAAATTATAGTCTTTGCCAATCCGGTTATTTCCACCAACCGACGCTGACTAGTGTTTTGTGGTTGTTGCTTGATCTTATCCAGAAAACCAATTTTTTCAGCTAATGTGAAGTCCCGTCGTGGCATTTTGATAGGGGAGACAAGACACGCGCACAGTTCACTGACTAAAGTGGTCTGAAGAAACCTTGGTGTTTTTGGTTTAAGATGTTGAGGTCAAGAGAAAGATAAAATGCACGCCATTCAAAGCTTTGGCACTAAAATCATCCCAAAAAGGTGATGAAATGATAGCTTTCTCGTGTAAACTTTAATCATGATTGACAGGCAGGAATTCCTTTCAGGTGGAGCCTGACACTCTATTGTTCATTTCCACGAAACTCGGAGGCGCAGGTCAAAGAAAATGGTGCGCATGTTCAAATCCCACCGGTTTTGCTTTTCTCATGCAATTTAAGGAATTTCTGACCTTTGATACAGCATTTTCTTGGGGAGCCTGAACTACAGATCCTCCCATATGTCGCAGACCACCTGTACATCCACTGTATGCTGCCGACTTGTGGCTTCTGTTTCTTATTCGCTCTCACGTTTTTTGGTTTGATTAAACGGAATTTTGGCCCAAATAAGCAAATAATATTAGGCTTACGTACATAGGATTTGTTTTGGTTCTTTAGGATTTGGTCCAAAAAAGGGGCTGGTCTGATTATCCAGTGCTCCAATTAACCGGATTCGAATGTATTGCCTTTCAGGCAAAATGAAACGGAAACCAGATAGGGGGGAATATTTCTCAGCAGTTGCATAAAGCAATAGACGACAGGTGTCTTTGATTATCAAGGCCAGACAGCTTCATAAAGGTGCCTTATTCAGCAGCTGTCCTGAGCATTGCATACTACTGACACCAACCTATTGGCAGCACCACCATTTTACACTGGTGTACAAAACATAAAAAATCCACACCTCATCAATGAAGTAACATTTTATTTATTGATGAGAGTCGTTTTAGTCTGACAAACAATTATCAGTGTTACTTGATATGGAGAGAGGTGGGGACATGCTTTCATCCCACTAACACCAGGGAAAGAGATTGCTGGGCTGTCCTGGTATGCTTGTATAGAGAGAATCAACAGACGGACGAAGCTCCACATTTTTGACTGAGGTTCACTCACCAGAGACGTTTTATTATGATAAAGTTATCCTCTCTCATGTGCATCTTCCCGGGATGCCACTGGGCCTGACTTTGTTTTCATGGATGGCAATGTATGGCTTCACAGGCCTCATATTGTTGAGTAGTTCATGGAAAGTCAAGATATCCACAGAATGGATTAGCTAGAGTGCCCCCCTGATTTAAATCCCACTGAACATGTGTGGAATACTTTAGGGAGATTCCTGGTGGCACAATCTTACCCTCCAGAAAACATCAGACATCTGAAACAGATGCTCCCTGAAGAATGGTAACTTTTACCCCAAGAACTTAAATAATCTAGTCTTCAGTATCAACAATGCAACCACTGCATTCAGGGAAGGTCATATCTCTTACTAATTTGTTGTTCTCTTTCTCAGAATGAACTAACACCATTCTCTTTTTCTATACTTTCTGTTTCAAAACTTTTTCTATATGTTCTGTATTGTATGCATCCTATATTTTTTTTTTTTTTTGCTACTATTCCTTATCCTTTAAGTATTTATTACATTGTGCTTCTGTAAGATGAATTTCACATCTCCCAGTTGAAATTTTGTGGCATTACGACAAAAATCAAAAAAGGTGCTTACGCTTTGCCTACTAGTGTATTTAGTTGGCAATACACTTGAATTAAAATGTGTATTAAACAAAATTTTCTTAAATGTTATACTTCAGATTTCCAACAGAAAATAAATAAAAATTTGAAATTTTCCTTTGCATTATTATTATTGTTAATGTATGTTTTGATGTATATTTACTAAGAGATATCGCATCTAAAGAAAACAGAAAAGAAAATTTAACAAAAGAAAGAGTTTCATAATTTTATCCAAAAGAGAAGAAAAGTATAAGTTTAAAAAATAAAAAGAAAGTATACAGAAAATACTGTAGAAAATACAATTGATCACTATTGAAAAACAAAATTCAATTAAACCATATTTGAGGAAAATAAAATTTCAAGCATATAACAAAGTTACACACAATATACCACACACATCGCACATTATTTTAGGTTATATCAAATAGGTAAATTAAGAATAAAAAGAAATTTTTTTGGAAATAAAAATACTAAACCAGCATGCACAAAAAAGATAAAAGACAATCGTTCTATACTTTTTAGGGATTACAGAGATCTTTCAGTTATTATCAAGAGCTCTTAGTTACTAGTCATGCATTATAAAAACATAAACATGCATCAGGAATCGAAAAATTTCATGGAATTTGTTTTATGCAAACTTTCATCCCACAATATGGAAAATAAAGCTCCAATATCTCAACAACAACACTGTACAGGACACACTTTAGTGACACTTTTATAAGTTTTCAAAAAATAAATATTAAAATGAAGAAATTCACAGTCAGAATGGGGAAAATCTTACATATCACCATACTTACATGAGAGTGAACTGGACAGAACAAATATTTTTGATTTCTTAAAGCAGTTTCTCCCTCCATTTCTTCCTTAGGCCGTACTATATGATCTTTAGTAACTCTGACTCTGTGATGGGCACTAACACAAGTATCACAAAGCCATTCCTGGCAATCCTGACAAAATGCTGAACCTTCAGCACCTTCCTCACAACTTGTACACGGATAACTGCTTTCCTCCGGCAAATTCTCAGAATTCTGTGCATATTCAACAAGAAATAAATGATCAACTGTATCATCAATATTAATTTCTTGTGAACATGTTGGGCAGAGTAGCTGTTTCACACCTAAAAAAAACAGAAATAGAAAAAATTTAACCCACAATCCTACAGGACAAGATAATTCTTTGCTACTAATAAAAGTAACAACACTCAGTACATAATTGAAATTAAAAAAAAAAATTATGTGTTGTTTTGCTTTACGATACAGTTTTTAACCATTTATTCTACATATAATTAATTACACAACACTCACATTTTATTTTAATGCACAATGCAGCATATTTTAAATTAAAGTTTTTAAAACATTTATTTTTCATTTTAGGGGTAGATTTATTCCGCCCACTGGTGACTCAGTGGCTGGTGGATAATAGAAAATGATACTTAAAAGAATCATTGAGTCTTCTCTCTACTTAGCATAATATCACTTTTAATTATAGTAACAAAAAATTACGTATATCTATATATATATATATATATATATATATTATATATATAAGCCAAGTTGAAAGGCAGGTACATTAATGACTAGTGTAACCACCAGAATTTTGAATACATGCATGTGCATGTATTGTGTCATGAAGTCCCATACATGCTCAATTGGAGAAAGATCTGGTGATCTAGTAGAACTATAAGTAAAATTATTGTATTTTTCCAAGTACTGTAGCACAAGACAATTTTTAAGAGAAAGCTATGAGGGAAAAGTAAGAAAACAGAGGCAGGTACATTTAATGAGTAAATGCATACAAAAAACTACGATACATTTTGATAAGATCCGTATAAACCTGACCTCTTCTATTTTGTCCCATTTCATGAAAAACTAAGCAATCATTTCTGGAGTCATTTAGTAGAACTGTTGAGAAGACAAGAGTGCTAATGTAAGTTAAAATAAAAGATGTGTTAAAAGACATTTTAGTATACATGGTAAGCATACAGCAGACTCAACTCGACTGTTAATACTGTTCCAGTCACCAGATATGAAAATAATTGTAAATATTTTAATTTTAATGTGCAAAGATGTTAAGAGGAACCCGTGAAAACTATTTGGCAATTATTAGTTTACATATTTCTTTATTTCATTTTAACAGTAAAAGAGTTTGGTTTTTATCAAAGGCAAGACTCAGAGTAATTTTTTTTTTTTTTTTTTTAAATAGAAAGAAGTATTCATAGGATTTTCCTGTTACCCTGGATTTTAAAGATGGCAGATGCTTAGAATTTAGACTCTTAGCAAAAATATTTAGTTAATGTATTACGCATGTGTACAAATTTATTTGAAATCCTCAAACAAAATTGTACTTTTATTTATTTATTTTATAAGCATAACATAGAATGAATTAATATTTTTACATATAGGAATATTAATTTGGACATTTTGGAGAACTTGTAAGTTTAACAGTGCAAGAAAATTAACTTTTAACAAATACAATGTAGTACACAGGTACTTATAAGGAAACATATGGGGGGACATATTAAAATGTAATTTGTTTCTCTGAAAATGAAAAAAAAAAAATAACATTCTTTACCCATGTTTCTATTTGCAAAAGCTATTTTTTATCATATCAATTTATAGCCTATGTTGAAATTTACTGATATAAACATGCATGCTGCTAATATGTTAAAACTTTATTTTTATTTTCACCTATGAACAGTCTAATGGCCTGATTCATTTAATTTGTATCATTTTAGAATGGTATGTCACTTCCAGGACTTAGAAGAGAAGGGCTAGCTCCTAAAGCTTTTACCCCTGAAACAGGAAGTGAGGACATAGTCATATTGACAATGAGTGCGAATGCAATTCACAACACAGAAATTAGCATTTTAAATTTGAAGAACCAGTGTTTAAAATGTTTGTCCTTGATTTTTAGATGTAGAACATCTGCTTGGAATAGCCCAGATAAGTTGAGTAAGATAATGCAAAAAAGAACAGCAAAATGTTTATTATCAGTACAAAAAAGGGATTGGCAAAATATCAGGTTTTAAATTTCATCTCCTGCATTATCCCTACATCAGAAATATCTGTCCTCGATTTTGAGAGGGTAGAATATTCACTTGTAATTTCAAATCAGACTATATAAATGAAGAATGATGAGGTAAAAAAACTGCAGAAAGTAGCTCAGCAATGCAACAAACAGGTTGGCAAAATAGCAGAACCCTATGGCGAAAATTTTTGCACTCGATTTTCAGAGCGTAAAAAATTTGCTGGGAATTTCAAACTAACTTACAGAAATAAAGGTACATAAAAGTAAAATGAAAATTGCAAAAAGGATTTTTGGCAACACAAGAAAAAGATTTGGCAAGTTTGGATATTTAGAATTTCATCTCCTGTGTTAAACCTATGGAGAAAATATCTGCACTCAATTTTGAGAGGGTAGAATACTCACTTAAGACTTTCAACCAGCACATATTAAGTAGAGGATGATTTACTAAAAATATTGCAGAAAGATTTTGGCAGTGCAATGAACAACTTGGAAAGATAGCAAATTTTGAATTTTGTTTCATGTGTTACCCCGGCGATTAAAATATTTGTTTTTGACTTTGACTAATTTGGAAAAAATGTTACTGCTGTATGCATGTTATGATGAACTTTAAAAAATTTAATAATACTTACTCAAATTTAAAATAATAGATAAAATATGCTACTCTTTTAACATTAGTTTTTTTTTTTTTTTTTTAATTTGCAAGCATTTTCTTTATGCACATTTATTTATAATCATTTCCTTATCTGCATGCTAACTGAGAGAATTCTAATACTGCTTGTAAGACAATCATAATAACAGCTATTTAAACTCAATCAAAAAACAACCCTAGACTGGTACAGTTTTAAACATATATGGCAAAATTTATGCTAATCTAAGGTTGATTTTTTTACCTAATTCTTTTTACATTGGCATATTTCTCTTCCGATTCAATATAATAATAGATATTTTATAAGTAATTTTGTAACTTATACTTACACCTATATTACATTTAAATAAACGTATGTAAGATTTTTATCTTAGACAAAACTGCTTTACTCACAGTACCTTAAAAAATTATTGAATTTTTCAAAAGTGTGTGTGTGGGGGGGGTAAGGATGCCGGTCTTTTTATGTCAAATAATTTGATGTTTTATACTATTATATTTTGTTTAGAATGCTAAGGTAGCACAAAATCGAATCAATAAATAGTCACAAAGGATACAATAATAACTTTAGCAAGTACTTAGCAAAATTAGTTCTCATTTGAAATATGCTTTATATAACTCTTAAAATGTTATACAGAAATATTTCAACATCTATGTATCCATTATTTTATCAAAAGCAAATTGTCCTTTGGGAAAGCATGAAATACATACCTTCTCCTTTTGTATTTCTATAAATATTACAGCATGTTCCTTCAGTACAAAAAGTCATATTTACATAAACAATACTATACAATACAGGATTTAAAAGGAAAACTGGCTAAACTATATATATATACAAATTATTTTAAATATTTACATTATTAGAAAACAAATATATATGATTAAAATTAATTTGGGGTATGCCACCTCCAGAAAATCACCTCCGCAGCTGAATAAAACTAGTTTTAAACGTGTGAAATTAGAACACGTGCAATACAGTGACCTCAGATTAATTCCGATTAACTACCCCTCCCATAAGGTTCGCATCAGCGAGGAGTTGAACAAAGGAATGAACTAGCCTTTTATATTTATTCCTGTGTCACTTCTATCCAAATTCGAGGGAGAATACTCGGGGAGGGGATACTACACCTCTATGAACGTCTATGAAGCCTGCCCCATTAGTATAGGAGACAGCATCACTAACCACTATACTAGCTGGGCAGTTTCAATTTTGACACAGCAGAATATTCACTCAAAATTTAAAATTGGCCCAGGTAAATAGAGCATGATGACATAAAAAAACTTCCAAAAAGAAATTTGCAGAAATACTAGGCCGATGACAAAATATCAGATTTAGTCTTAACCCTACCACAAAAAGATTTGTCCTTGATTTTTAGATGTAGAACATCTGCTTGGAATAGCCCAGATAAGTTGAATAAGATGGTGCAAAAAAGAACAGCAAAACATTTATTATCAGTGCAAAAATGGGATTGGCAAAATATCAGGTTTCAAATTTCGTCTCCTGCATTAACCCTACATCAGAAATATCTGTCCTCGATTTTGAGAGGGTAGAATATTCACTTGAAATTTCAAATCAGACTATATAAATGAAGAATGATGAGGTAAAAAAACTGCAGAAAGTAGCTCAGCAATGCATAGAATTTCATCTCCTGTGTTAAACCTATGGCGAAAATATCTGCACTCAATTTTGAGAGGGTAGAATATTCACTGAAGACTTTCAACCAGCACATATTAAGTAGAGGATGATTTACTAAAAATATTGCAGAAAGATTTTGGCAGTGCAATGAACAACTTGGAAAGATAGCAAATTTTGAATTTTGTTTCATGTGTTAACTCTGCGATGAAAATATTTGTTTTTGACTTTGAGAGGGTAGAACATTCAGACAGTTTTGAACTGGCCCTGGTAAATAGAGGATAATGAAGTAAAAAACTGCAAAAAGAGTTTGGTAAGATGTAGAATCTGGGCTTTTAATGATATTTGTTTATAGATGAAAGGAATAACCCTTTTAAAATTTGCTCACAGTAATCAAAATGTTTTCTTCCATTATTTAAAATTTTTCTTTGTATATTTTATTTATTAATACACAAAACAAAAACTTACATTTACATTTCATAGTGACAATCGCCATTTTTGTCCTCTTCCTTTTTAATATCATATGTCCTTCATTTAAACTCAAATCTATGAACATTTTATATTTGATCTAACAAGTGTTAAAATTTAAATATAACTTCCCAGTTGAAAAGTATGACTTAAGTAATGTCAATATTGAAACCACTTTAAATACTTAGCTGTTAATATAACTATATATATATATATATAATTTAAAAAGAAAATGTAAAGCTAAACAAGTAAGACAAATTTCTTCTTAGTTTTTATTTTTGTATTACTGCGTTAAAATATTTCGTGGAGCTACATCTCCTGGTAACTTTTCAGCAAGATCGCTGCA